CTGTTTTACAACGCTGGTTGAGAGTCACTGTGGACTGCAAGTTTGGGGTGCAGGGCCCTTCGGGAGCTTACAGTGAGAACAGGGGTGCTGGATGCTCTAAGGTCAGTCCCAGGAGTTATTGAAGCCAAGGAGGCTTACCCTAGCAGAGTGTGCCCTGAGGGGAGTCACACTAAAGACTCAAACCTGCCTGGGTTTGATTCAGAGCAGTTCCAGAGCACCGAGACTGTGACCTCCGTGACACTCACCTGCTGAACAAATCCAGGGAAATGTGGGTGTGATGGGATAAAGAATAAGTTTGTGGTCCTTTCTGCTCTGTACAGCCATTAAACATCCCAGGGCCCTTGCCACAGAAGATGAGTTTGTTCCAGTATCACTGGCCAAAATGTCCCTCTTTTCTGCGTGACCCCCGCCCGTCCCAGCTGACGGCCTCCAGCCCCGACGTGGCTGCATTTCAATGGCACAGTGGATCCTTCTGGATGAAAACTGTTAGTAGATATACCAGTCCAAATACTGAGGTTATGGCCCATAATTTCCTCAGGCCCCACAGAGGCAAAAATCCCCTTCGTAGTAAGAACTGAGTAAAGACTCAGGAGCCCAATGTGTGATAATGCACTGTCACCTCCTCCTCTTGCACCTCAGGGCTCTGGCTGTTAATGGGTGGGGTGGAGGGGCTGTTACCTGACTTGTATCTGCTGGAAAGCTTGGAGGTTCTAGGGCTCCGCACTGGAAGAATTCTAAGAATTTTTCAACATGGGTAAGTCATATTTTTTGCCAGCTTCATTTGAGAAGTCGGCTGAACTGTTATGGCTAAAACTTTTTAAAAAAAACAATTCATTGGGAAGCAGAGACCCAAGGTGGGAAATTTCAGACCAAATGGTTAATGTCTGGTAAACTTATAAGCAACAGAACATGAGGTCTTCTAACGGAAGGTGTCAGACAGACTTAAAAAAAGACAATGGCCAGTCCCTTTGTGAGTCCCATTCACCTAACGTTGCATTTGTCTTTTTTGAAAGAGCAAAAAAAAAAAAAAAAAAAATCCACACCCCTGAGAGATTGTAGTTATATCAACCTAAACCCAGTGTACACGGGATGAGGTCGACGGAAGAATTCTTCCATTGACCTTGCTACCAACCTACACCGATGGGAGAAGCCCTGCTGTCAGTGCAAATAGTGTCTACCCTGAAGTACTATGGCAGCACCACTGTAGAATTTTAAGTGTAGACGAGCCCTCAAGCAGATCTTCCAGAAAAGCATCCAGTCTGGATCTGCAGATACGTGGAGCTGGAGAATTCACCACTTCCCTTCACAGTATTTCCAATGGTTAATCACCCTCAGTGCTAAACATTTGGCCCTGATTTCCAGCTGGAATTTGTCTGGCTTCAGCTTCCAGCCATTGGGCCTTGCTCTGCCTTTCTCCTGTAGATTACAGAGCCCGTTATTTATATTTACAATAAAAAGATGAAGCTCATTAGATCTCTCACTGTCCGGCATTTTCTCCAGCTCCCCAGTCATTTTTGTTGCTCTTTTCTGCACCCTCTCCAATTTTTCAGCATCCTTTCTGAAATGTGGACCCTCTGACTGCGTGCAGTCGGTTTCACCAATGCCATGTGCAGAGGTAAAATCCTTCCTCTGCTCCAAATCACCTCTCCCCTGTTTATGCATCCAAGAATCAGAACAGCCCTTTTGGCCACAGCATCGCATTAGGCTCTCACGATGAATTGGTTTCCACAGTGACCCCTAAATCCTTTTGAGGGTTATAGGATTCCATAATACAGTGCCCTAGTCTGTGCTTCAGGCCTACATTCCCTGTTCCAAGAGGATTACTTTGCATTTGAACTGTTTCAGAGTAGCAGCCGTGTTAGTCTGTATTCGCAAAAAGAAAAGGAGAACTTGTGGCACCTTAGAGACTAACCAATTTATTTGAGCATAAGCTTTTGTGAGCTACAGCTCACTTCATCGGATGCATACTGTGGAAAGTGTAGAAGATCTTATTATATACACACAAAAAGCATGAAAAAATACCTCCTCCCACCCCACTCTCCTGCTGGTAATAGCTTATCTAAAGTGATCACTCTCCTTACAATGTGTATGATAATCAAGTTGGGCCATTTCCAGCACAAATCCAGGTTTTCTCACCCCCCACACACACACAAACTCACTCTCCTTCTGGTAATAGCTTATCCAAAGTGACCACTCTCCTTACATTATTACCAGCAGGAGAGTGAGTTTGTGTGTGGGGGGAGGGTGAGAAAACCTGGATTTGTGCTGGAAATGGCCCAACTTGATTATCATGCACATTGTAAGGAGAGTGATCACTTTAGATAAGCTATTACCAGCAGGAGAGTGGGGTGGGAGGAGGTATTTTTTCATGCTTTTTGTGTGTATATAATAAGATCTTCTACACTTTCCACAGTATGCATCCGATGAAGTGAGCTGTAGATCACGAAAGCTCATGCTCAAATAAATTGGTTAGTCTCTAAGGTGCCACAAGTCCTCCTGTTCTTCATTTGAACTGTGTTAGAACATTTTGTTTGCATGGGCCCAGCTCACCAAACACTCCTGATCAAGATTCCCTTGGGGTAAATTTGTTATCTGTAGTGTTTGTGTTTGTAGTGTGCTTGCTGCTTGACTGACCTATACCGTGTGGTCTGTCTGTTTGGAGGACCATGTGCTGAGCCTAGCGGCCTGCTAGGCAAGACTGAGAACTTCTAAATGAGGCTCTGATCCTAGGCGCCAACTCCGTGGGTGCTCCGGGGCGGGGATTTGGGGAGGGATCCAATAGGGGCAGGGAGGGGCGGAGTTGGGGCAGGGCAGGACGGGGGCGGGGGCAGGGGAGGCCCGAGCACCCACTGGTGCTGACAAAAGTTGGTGCCTGCAGCTCTGATCCCTGAGCCCATCAACCCTTAAACAGCAGGCGGGGCTAGTCAGGGAGACCAGGGCTTTCAAAAGCCCACTCCTAAGCAACCGGAGGAGCAAGTGAACAGGGGAGTTTTGTGAAGGGGTTGGGAGGGGGAGTGTGGGGGGCTAGATACACTTAACATTCTTTATGTTTAAGGCTAAAAACACCTCCTGTTAAAAACAAAACAACAACAAAGGAACAAGCTGCAGGATGACAAAAAGAGAATGCAGGCAGAAGTCCAGCAACAGAGTGGGGGCTGTCCAGTTTATTACACTCAATGCAGCATGTATGAATACCTACCTGCCCTATAGGCAGGGTGTGTATGTGTACATTTAGTGTAAGGCACTTCTGGACCTCAGAGACAGCGTTCACAGTTTGGAGACCAGGCTGGCTGAGCTGGAGGAGCTAAGGTAGACAGAGTGGTACATAGATGAGACTTTCTGGGACCACAGTAGAACGGCCCCACCCCCAGTCTGACAGCCTCTGTGCTGTTCAGAAGGATCAAAGTCTTAGGGAAGGAAAACATCCAACTGGAGCTGTTTGGACCCTCCTTCCAGATGATGTCATGGTCTCCTCTTGCCCTGAGGATACCTCTCTGGGGGAGGGAACTCCAGTTATTTTAAAGAGACAGGTAATAGTTTTGGGGGACTTGATCATTAGAAATAGAGACAGCTGGGTTTGTCCTGACCAGGAGAACTGCATGGTGACTTGCCTGCCAAGTACAAACTTTGTGGATCTCTTGAGTCATCTAGATAGAGTTATCCGTAGTTCTGGGGAGGAGCCAGTGGTCATGGTACATGGAGGTACCAGTGACATAGGGAAGGGTAGGAGAGAGGTCCTGAAGGCCAAATTTTGGCTGCTAGGTAAGATATTGAAGTCCAAGACCTCTATAATAGCATTGTCAGAAATGCTTCCAGTTCCATGTGCAGAACCAGTTAAACAGGCAGACATGTAAGGTATCAATGAGTGGATGAGCCTATGGTGTAGGGAGGAGGGGTTTAGCCTCAGAGAAATCAAAATGTATTGCATCTGCACGGTTCCCTTGATCAACTAAATTGTACTCTCATTAAAGGATGAAATCCGTGTTTTTTTTTACAAGACCTGTTTTCCATAAACCATGTCATTGACTAGCATTAATTATATTCCTAGACTTTCTTTTAACTAATTTCATACCAGCTTTTCCATTGTTTCATAAACTTGTTAAATCATTTTTTAAACTTTCCCTTAATTTATTTGCCTGATTGTGTACATCTGGTTCCGAATGAGGTGTGTGGTTGATCGGTCAGTTCGTAACTCTGGTGTTTGTAACTCTACGGTTCTACTGTCGATGCTGTTTAACACCCTCCTAGGCCACGAATGGACTGGAGAGGGTTTCACTGCCGAAGGTATTCTGAGTACCTCTTACTGCTTCCTTCCGAACGCAGACGAAAAATATTTCTTGAACACATCTACTTTTTCGGCAGCATTAACAAGTTTCTGTTCTCTGTCTAGGAATTGGCACCTTTGTTAGGAATTCTTTTGTTGTTTGTATTATCTAAATATACTTAATAGCCTCCTTTTTGTTATCTGTAGCCCTGCCAAGCATGGATTTTTTCCTGATGTCTTTCACATCCCATTTTCATAACGTCTGATTGTATTGTTTGCTATCTATTTGCCCTTTTACCCACTTGTTATATATGGTTTCCATGCCCCCTGCCCTCATTGCTGCCTTCACTTTGCCACTGAACCGAGATCAGCAGTATCCACTCTTGCGTTTCCTGTTGCAGCCTATTAACGTTTCCCACACAACAACGTTTAGGAATTATTGACGCATGGAGCACCACCCAATATGGAATTGGCATTAGTAGGGTCCGTTGTTCATAATTCATTTATCTGAATAAAGAAAGTGTCATTTTTCACTGTGTCAACAACAACCAATCTGCTTCCCCCATGAGAACAGCCCCCAGTAGTGCATGTAGTGTCTCATATTAACATTGTCTCTCCACCCAGGCATTTGTACTGCGACTGTCACCCTAGATCCTGGGCGCACACAGGAAGTCACGGGAGGGTACAGTATATGCAGAAGACATCATTCTGCTTCAGATTTGGACACCGTCTCCCTTGCTCCATGTCAGATTCCAACACAACCGAATTCACCAACCCTTCCACCTTCATCCTGCTGGGCATTCCTGGCCTAGAGGCAGCCCACATTTGGCTCTCCATACCCTTCTGCACCATGTACACCACAGCCATCTTGGGGAACTTCACCATCCTGTTTATCGTGAAGATGGAGGCTAGCCTCCATGTTCCAATGTACTATTTCCTCTGCATGCTGGCTGTCACCGACCTGGTTCTGTCCATGTGCACCCTGCCCAAAATGCTGAGTATCTTCTGGTTCAATTCCAGGGAGATCAATTTCAGTGCTTGCCTCACTCAGATGTACTTCATTCACTGCTTCACAGTGATGGAGTCTGGGATCTTTGTGGCCATGGCCTTGGATCGCTATGTGGCCATCTGCCATCCCCTGAGACATTCCACCATCCTGACAAACCCTTTGGTTGCCAAGATTGGCCTGGCCGTGGTGCTGCGTGGAGGCATGCTCGTACTGCCCTATCCCTTCCTGGTGAGGCGCTGGCCATATTGCAGAACCAACATCATCCCCCACACGCACTGCGAGCATATCTATGTGGTGACGCTGGCGTGTGCTGACATCCGTGTCAATAGTTATTATGGCCTGTTTGTGCTGTTCTGTGGGAATGGTCTGGATATGTTTTTTATTGCCATGTCCTATATTCACATACTCAGGGCCATCTTCAGTCTCCCCACAAAGGAAGCCCGGATCAAGACATTTGGGACCTGTGTCTCCCACCTCTGTGCCATCTTAGCCTTTTACATCCCTGGTCTTTTCTCCTCCCTCACATACCGGTTTGGCCAGAATGTGGCCCTGCATTTCCGTGTTCTCATTGCCAATGTGTACCTCCTGGTGCCCCCCATGCTAAACCCCATCATCTACGGGGTAAGGACCAAACAGATCTGGGGCAGGCTGCTCCTGCTCTTTACTCATAAAGGGACCTGAAGTTTTCTCCTGGTGCTCTGACTCTCAGACTGAGCGCCGTGAAGACCTGGCTGGTGACATGGTTCTAGGCCCTCTTCCCTGAATCACTGACTGGACAGTCTAAGAGACATTCAATCATTTCCTAGACTTATTGTGCTGTGTCAGCATGACAAACGGGGGAATTGGTCTGTGTACAGCTCATTAACTCCTAGGGTTGCCACCTTTCTAATTGTAATTGTAACTGGACCCATGGAGCCCTGTCCCCTGCCCCACCTCTTCCCTCAAGGCCCCACCCACTTCTGTGCCTCTTTCCCCCAAGACCCAATCCCTGTTGCTCTCACCTCTCCTCCCCCCCATCACTCTCTGCATCATCTAAGTGATGGGTCTCCCCTGGGGTGCCACCTGGAACTGAGGTACAGCTGAGCCCTCTGTCCCACCAATCTGGGTTCCCTCTTGCACTATGGTGTTGCGACAAGCTGCAAAATCCTCCAAGCTTACACTCACACTGACATCTACAGGCAGGGATCACACCCAGCTGTGTTCATGAATGCTCTGGCCAGCCACTCATGAACTCACAATAGAGAGGCTACAGCCAAAATATTCCCAGCTCCCAGTCTAAGGCCCCAGAACTCTACCATCCTGCCCTGGTCAAAACGCGAGCAGTATGAATTTATTACCCAGTCTGCCACTTCCACAAAGGAAAGTGGACAGGCACCAACTCTTGTTTATCAGCTGATATTTGCCTCCTTTGCACTTCACACAACACATAGTGATTTAAATCTAAGCCTAATGTGCTAGTTAGTATTTGAATCAAGTAGTATCTCACTCAGTTAGATAGCACAAGCAGGTAAGTTTTTTTCAGGCAGACTTCCTTCTTTCCTGCCTGGGACCAGCACTTTCCTGCCAGTTCAGTCTTTTTCCTCTGGCACTTTCAAGTGTGTTGTTGTATGGAGAATAAGGACCCCTTCCAACGTGTTATTTCCCCCTTTTGCTGTGACCAGGATCAAACAGTTCCCATTGTGTAGTGCGGTTTCTATGGTATACAGTTCCTGGGATAATCCTTCTGCTTGTGTGCATTTCCTCAATAAATTATCAACATGCTTTGGCCTTTTAATTGTTGTACCTAAAGGCAGCTCGAGGATGTTCTCAACTCACCCCATGTTTCAGTAGCACACACACAGACAAACGTCATAACTTCACATACAATGGTAGCACATACAATTGAAGAGGATATTAATATTCAGTAGATTAATACTATTAGAATGATACCTCACAAGGAATCCTTTCTACAAAAAATACCATCATTAAATGACAGGGGTGAATATGGGGGTGCCAGTGTGTCACAATCTCCCCCTCCCTCCCTGCCCCATCTGGGCTCCCTCTGCTCTGGGCCTGGGACGGAAGCTGCTTCAGCTTCACAAGGAGCCTGCAGTGAGGGCAGTGAGGACACAGAGCTGGGGATGACAGGCCAGTCAGGGGCAGAGAAGGAGGCCGGGAAGCCGTATAAAAGCAGCTGAGGGTTGGGAGCAGGGCTCTGAGGCAGGTGGGCAAGGCTGTGCATCATACAGCTTGTGAGCCCTAAAGTTCAGCTAGGAAGTCCTCACTGATCACATGGAGGAGGATATCCAGGACAGAATGGCTGATTCAGTGTCTGTGCTGCCAGGCACCCAACCCATGGCTCAGGCTTTGAGAGGGAACTGTGTAACTCTCCTCCTGGAGGGGAGCAGTCACACAAGCCTGAAATAGAGAAAGGGGTGAGGGAGGGGACCACAATCCAGGTCCCGATTTTTCAGAACTTTGTTCCTGGCATGCTTGTGAAAACTAACTCTGACTTTTTAAGACAGGATATCGATCCTACTGAACAGATAGTGGTTTCTGAAAACGCTAATGACCCACCAGACAGAGGGGAGGAAGTAATTCCTCAGGCTGGTAAGACATACCAAGCAGCTATGAAAGAGCTGCTTGGAGAAAACACACCTCTTAGCCCAGAAAGCAGAGATCACAACCCTCTAGGAAAGGGGTGGGGAAGGTCCCAGTGCTGGGAGCGGGAATCGCAGAGAAAACCCAGGGTGGAGGATGTGGATTTTTTGCATGGACATAACCCTGGAGTTGGAAAGCAGCTCCACAGAAAGCTAGCAACACTCAAAGTTCCCTGACATCCTCACCTCTCCAGACCCTGGCACACCAAGACCCCAAAGATGACCTAACACTGAGATCCCTACTGAATGGGACACTGAGAGGAAAGGAAAACCAGTAACTAAACACATTTGAAGGTTCAGGGATGAGTTGAAAGACACAATGGGTATTGGATAAACCAAACTGTTCAAGAAGAAGGCTTGGTCTAATAAAAAATATTTGGAAACACTCACCTGTGATAAAAGGTTTAGTGTTATTGTTAAATCTCATAATTGAAAGTTTGTTGCTTATAATAAAGAGATTGGTACTGACAGTAAATCGTATGAAAAAGTGTAACATGCATGATTTTTGGGGAAAGCTTCTGGACATGCTAGGAGTAGTAAACAAGAAGACGTATGGCGATTCTGCTTCTCAGCTAATGCCTGTTAGGCTCAAAGCTTGTCACAGCAGGGAAACCATAATAAACCTGATCTGCTGTGAGAAAGGGGAAACTGAGGCACACAGCCCCATGGCATTGATGAGTATCTCTATTCAGTTTTCACCTGCTGGAAAAGCACAATGGCTAACAGTGCTGCACGGATACAAATAGAGGTTTTCTAGTGACCCAGAGAAGGCACATGTGGTAAGGCTCTGTCTACACCAGCAAGTTTCTGCACAGTAAAGCAGCTTTCTGCACGGTAACTCCCAAGGGGTACACACTGCCAAGCCACTGAGTGAGCAGAAACTGCTCAGTTGTAGTGCTGAAAAAACCCACCCCAGCGAGAGGCGTAGAGCTCTCTGCTCTGGGACTACAGCGCTGAGGTGCAGTGTAGACACCGTGGTAGATCACAGCGCTGCGACTGGCCTCCGGGAGGTGTCCCACAAGGCCTGTTCTTGCCTCTCTGGTCATCGGTTTGAACTCTACCGACCTGCCCTCAGGAGACCAGCCGTCACCCCCAGCCCGAAAATTCCTTTAGAATGTTGAAAGTCCCCGTCCTGTTTGCTCGGTGACACGTGCAGTGGTCTCAGTGCATCTTTCCAGGTGGCCAGGCTTGCTCCACGCACCAGGCAATCCCCCGCGTGGAGCAATGCCGAGCTGCTGGACCTCATCGGCATTTCAGGAGAGGCGTCTGTCCAGTCCCAGCTGCGCTCCAGCCATAGGAATTATGATACCTACAGACAGATTTCACGATGCATGACAGAAAGGGGCCATGACTGGGACACACTGCAGTGCAGGGTCAAAGTGAAGGAGCTGTGGAACGCCCACCACAATGCGTAGGAGGCAAACTGCCGGTCCGGTGCTGCACCCACGAGCTGCCGGTTCTACAAAGAGCTGGACGTGATACTCAGTGGTAATCCCACCACCACTGTGAAGACCACTGTGGATGATTCAGTGGCTCGCGTGCCAGTTGAAAGTGGACCTAGCCAGGAGGAGGAAACCTTGGATGAGGATGTGGAAGGGGACCCAGAGACAGAGAATGACTCAGAGGTCAGAGATGCATGCAGCCAGGAGCTGTTTTCTACCTTGGAGGAGGCTAGCCAGTCAAACAGGAGAGGAGGCTCCGGTAAGTGGATTTGTTTTTCGGAATTGCCAAAGTGAGTTGTTGGCGGCAGGAGAGTTGCAGAAAGCAGGTATGTCTCCCACCACATGCCTAGCCTGTGTGATGGAATAGGCTGTTGATGGACTCCCTCACTTCATGGGAACCTCCCTCAGTGATCTCCAGGAAACTCTTATGGAGATACTGGACAATCCACTGCTGCAGGTTCTTTGGCAGAGCTGCTTTGTTTCTTGCCCCATTAATGGTAACTTTTCCACACCACTGTGCCGTCATCGGGTAGGGGGGCACCATTGCTGTACACAGGCGAGCTGCACGGAGTCTTGGAGAAACAACAGGAGTCCTTGTGGAACCTTAGAGACTAATACATTTATTTGGGCATAAGCTTTCGTGGGCTATAACCCACTTCATCAGATGCATAGATGCATAGGAAAATACAGTAAGCAGGTATAAATATACAGCGCATGAAAAGATGGGAGTTCCATTACCGAGTGGGGAGTCAGTGCTAACATGGCCAATTCAATTAGGGTGGATGTGGCCCATTTCCAACAGTTGACAAGTAGGGGTGAATATCAACAGAGGGAAAATTACTTTTTGTAGTGACCCATCCACTCCCAGTCTTTATTCAGGCCTAATTTGATGCTGTCCAGTTTGCAAATTAATTCCAGTTCTGCAGTTTCTCATTGAAGTCTGTTTTTGACTTTTTTTGTTGAAGAATTGCCACTTTTAAGTCTATCATTAAGTGTCCAGGAAGATTGAAGTGTTCTCCTACTGGTCTTTTTACTCCTGCAGCTGGTTCCTTTGTTGTAGTTTTGTTTATATCATAGAATTATAGAATATCAGGGTTGGAAGGGACCTCAGAAGGTCATCTAGTCCAACCCCCTGCTCAAAGCAGGACCAATCCCCAATTAAATCATCCCAGCCAGGGCTTTCTCAAGCCTGACCTTAAAAACTTCTGAGGAAGGAGATTCCACCACCTCCCTAGGTAACGCATTCCAGTGTTTCACCACCCTCCTAGTGAAAAAAGTCTTTCCTAATATCCAACCTAAACCTCCCCCACTGCAACTTGAGATCATTACTCCTCGTTCTGTCATCTGCTACCACTGAGAACAGTTTAGATCCATCCTCTTTGGAACCCCCTTTCAGGTAGTTGAAAGCAGCTATCAAATCCCCCCTCATTCTTCTCTTCGGCAGATTAAACAAGCCCAGTTCTCTCAGCCTCTCCTCATAAGTCATGTGTTCCAGTCCCCTAATCATTTTTGTTGCCCTCCGCTGGACGTTTTCCAATTTTTCCACATCCTTCATGTAGTGTGGGGCCCAAAACTGGACACAGTACTCCAGATGAGGCCT